CCAGCAGGTTTCCTAGAGGCACTAAGTAATTGAGCAGCATGGTTTTCTTCTCAAATGGTCATTAATCTGTTTTGTAGACATTGGTGGTGGTTTATCCCAAATTATCTTCTTCATCTTGGTGCTATTTCTAGGGAAACCAAAGATAATGTTTCATTTAAAAATCTGTTCTTTTTATATAAGGGCTAATTGAGTTATTAATCCAGGACTTTTGCCTTTGCCCATTTTCCTTACTTCATAGAAACAACTGGAGAGAACCTATTTGAATAGATCCTCCCTAGTTCTATCAGTCAATCTGTCTTCAGGCACATGAGTCTCCGGGGTAAGAAACAAACAGACAGATGGGCCGATGTGTTGAAGGAGACAGGAGCACAGTTCTGAAGTCATTTCTAACAAAGATGCCAAACTGTCAAGAAGCAGATCAAGAAATAGTCTTCCTGACAGACACAGTTTGGCCTAGAGAGTTACTTTTGTGGTGCCTGCAGCTTAGTTTTCTTCCCACGAGACCTGTCTGATATGGTCAAATGGTTTTGAAGGCTTCATGTTCCATTTTCCCCCATACCTATTCTGTGTGAGGGAGGGGGTGGACATTTTAGTTAGTTATTTAATATTCCCCAACAATATATTTTTAAAAATATTCCTGATTTCTTTGCTTCTGTTTGATGTGTATTTTTATTTTCTTTATTTTTATTTGGAAATATTTGTCTTACAGGAAAGGTCTTAATAGGTCATCTTTCTCAGTAGTTGGCAGCAGTTGGCTGTTTGTAGGTTTGTGTGTGAGAGGGTGTGTTTTAAGAACCACCTGCATATTGTAAGGTTTTGGGAACAAAAGAAGAAATATATTCTATTTAGAAAGCAGTTTAATCACAATCTATACAGACCAGCTTTTGCTGATAGGATTTTTTAAAATTCTGAAAGCCCCCTTTTTTTCCTCTGAGCCCCCTGTCATTTGTACGAATGCCTTGTCTGTCGTGGCAGAACTTGATAACAGCTGGCTAGAGATGTGACCACACCATAAGAGAACAATAAGGACTGGCCAGCCTTAATCATAAATCTTCCAAAAGGTAATTCCTCTAGCAGGACTATGAATCTGTTACTGTCATAGTCAAAGGGAGAAGGCATTGTCCTCTCAACTGCTAAACATCTCAAGTTCGGGCACCAATGATGCCCTCCAGGAAATCATCAGGAGCATCTATTGAGACATTTCTCATTTATTCCATTGTTTGTTTTATCTTAGCTCTCCATACTGCATTCAAAAACATCTATGCCAAAGCAGCTTAGATTCTGCTTTTTTGCTAGTTGAATTGTCAAAAACTCTATTGTCTTTTGGTTTTTTTTTCCTTCCTGGGTGAAAATGAGATGGGAAAGGAATAGGTCACATGTATCAAGTTTTCTATAGCTGTTGAATGTGCTCTAAAGTTTTCAATGCATGTTACTGTGGCAGATGGAACTTTCTCTTCTGTCCTCACTCGAGTCTCTGCTCTTTGTATACTAGTAAAGAGGAGGACTCTTTGGTTATACAGAGATGGGAGGAAATTCCATGTACAATGTCTAATGCTTTTATTTTGATTGATATTATCTTATTCCATTACTCAGATTATAAGATGATATATACTAGAACACATGTCTGGAAGACAGCAAGATATACAGTGAGCCCTTGATATCCACTGAGGTTTGGTTCCACGACCTCCTGTGGATACCAAAATTTATGGATGCTCAAGTATCATTATATAAAATGCTTTAATAAAATGATAAAATGGCAAAATAAAGGTTTGCTTTTGGCTTCTTTAAATGTTTTCAAGATATGGATGGTTGAATACATGGATACGGAGGTCCAACCGTACTAATTACCATACTTCTTAGGAGAGGAGAAGTCAATACTGTTAGTCTTAAGTTCTAGAATAAGCAGTGATTTCAAAAATTTCTAAATGGATTCTGTGGTTATATTGGGATTTAGTGTCAAATATTATAAGTTTTGTTTGTGTTTTTCATTTGCCCTGTAGTGGGATGATAGTTGAGCAGCAAAGCATGTGATTTGTGTGGAGAAGATCCACTGTCTCCAATAATGAAAGATCTAAGACTGTGAAAGAAGTCTGTCTGGGACCTTGAATGGATGATCCTCATTGGAGTAGACAGTATCTGGCTAGATGAACCAATGATTTGGCTTAGTATAAGGCAGCATTTTCCTATTTGAAAGAAAAATTCTTCAATGGACCAAATTCTTCACTGGACCACAGGGATTGTGCTTCTCTCCACAAAGACTTGGAAACATGAGGGAATTTTTTGATCAACCCCATAGATGGAAACATTCAACAACTTTCCTTCGGCTATCCAAAAACTTCTGCAAACTAGGCTAGGCTAAAAGGAAAGAACATGCTGACAACTAGCATTTAAAGAAACGTTGTTGGTTGTGTACAATATTGAAAACTTGGCAGGATCTCTCAACTCACTTCTTTAAATTCATTATGGGATCATTGAAATTCAGTTATTGCGGCTGCCCACAGTCATTTAAAATCAAGTTCTAGCATAGCTTTTCTATGGAAATCATTAAAACCTCCCTCCCCCACCCTTTCTCTCTATATGGCCTGTGCAATCAATGACTTTTGTATACAATAACACTAGCTAACAGGGGATCATACCTCCCAAGTTTCAGAAATATTCATGCATCTAGTGATTTTTTTGGGAATTTTGAAAAGTTTTGACAAAAATTTATTTGGTTGGTTTTGTTGTTGGTTTTCTTTAAAAGCCACAACAGCTATTTTATTGAATGTCTCTCATATTGACCAATATAACCTAAATGTAAGGATTTCTTCCCAGCCCAGCAGTGATGTACTTACTTGTATTAAAGTATCAGTTAGTCCTCCTCTTTGCAGATTCAACGGTTTATTGGAACTCTGGCTGCTTCTAAGAGGGAAAAATCTCTCCCCTATCTTCATTGGAACTTTGATGCTGAGCAGAATTCTGGGAAATGTAGTTTAGGGCAGGGCCTTTTGAATTCTCTCCCATAGGTCTCCTCACCTTCCCAAACTCCATTTCCCAGAATTCTGTGCTCTCAGTCTCTTTCACTCAGTTTGTTTCATCCTGCTGCTTTTCTCTCCTCATGGCGAGAGGCCATTAATTTAAAGAAGAATGGCAGCCTTTTGGCTTCACCTCATGCTTAAAATTATACTGACTTTGATAGTCTTTTGAGCATTACAGAATTCAAAAAAAGAAGTAATGAGTGAATTTTGATTCTTAAGTTCTTGTGTGGAATGCCCCTCCCCCTCCCCCGCTGGTGCTCTTTAATATCTGTTCATATATATATACAAAACTTACAAATTAAATACGACGTACTAATTAAACAAGAAATTATGAACAGCCCATATAGATAGATAGATAGATAGATAGATAGATAGATAGATAGATTGTATATGTCATACTGTGTCACCCAATGTCTATCCTGAAGTTGTCAACAATAAGTTAAATCAGCACTGACAAGGAATTAAATGACAACAAAAATGAAAACATTCATCAAAATTTATTTATAGAAAATATTAAGACAAACTATGTGTTCATACAAAAAAAGCAAGACAGCTCAGTTCCACTATTTTAAAATCAATATATTTCTTAATTTCTTTACAATTACTGCAAGAAAAAAAATCTTACATCTGAAAGATAATGGGCCATGCGTACAAACAAGGTATTACCAATGTTAATAACCTCTTTCTTGATTCCGTCCTTGATTTCAAATATTGTCAGCATTTTGAGAAAGGCTGGTTAGAGGATTCTTGTAGCATTGGCATTTCTCTAATATGCCCCTAGAAGTCCTGTGTGATATGTAAAAGTAATTTATATCACATTTGGAAGCACTTAGAGCAGTAATCTTTTTTCTTACAAGTTTCTTTTTGCAAAATTTTTCAAAATTAGTTTAAAATATCCTTTAGGAGACATGGAGATATTTGCGCAATCCTTTGGGTACACTTTAAGTCAGTTTAGACCCAATAGATATGGGGTTTTTTTTTTCAAAAAAGTAAGTAAACATGAAGTAACTTTGACTCACTTAATGTTGTTAAAAGTCAACTTTTTCCCCCCCCCCCCCCCCCCAAATAAAATAAAATGGGAAGGCCCACAAATACTGTATAGTAGAAGTTCCTCGAGTGGCATTTGATGGCAAAAAGTTGATTGTTGTTTTGGGGTTCTTTTGGCAGAAGCAAGTGGGTTCGGGGGTGTAGTCTTCTAAGGTATCTTGAGGGATGCTGATGAGGCCTCTACAATTGCACATCCCACTCTTAACTGTTATCATTTGCAGTGTGATGAGGCCATGAGTCTTTCTTATCAAAGTACCTTGCTGCACCTTTCAAAATCACAAAAATAGTATGGAGCTATCAATAAAATCACTGGGGCAGGGAAGGAGAGTGTATTAGGAGGAAGTGCAGTCTAGCGGATTTGTCCATTGATTCAGATAAATTTGCTCTACATACATACTAAAATTAATTTGAAAGAATTAAGTCAAGGAATCCAAATTATTTTTTTAATTGGCCGCACTAAAAATCACTACTAAGTTTTTTATACAGGTAATACCTTATTCTTCCTTGTTGCCATAGTTGCTTATGGTAGTCTCAATATTGTATGAATTAGCCAACAAAATTGATGAATGTGTGTGTACTTCTGCAGACATGAAAACCGTTTCATTATGGTAATTTGCCAGAATAGGTCTCACTACCACAACCAAATGCTAAAAAAGAGGGGTGGGCACAAAGCTATGAAAACAATGTGATAAAAGAGGAGGAGTCCCTTAGGCCCATAGGCTGTAAAGTACAATTTAGTAAGTGGACAACATTTTAATAATCCTCCTGTTATGCCAACATGCCTAAGGCAAGACCTGTACTGAGCTGATTTAATGAATGTTTCCAAGATAACTTGCATTTCATTTGTGTTAAAGACAGACAATTCAACATTCTCTACATCTTTGGGCCTCATCTGGGAGCCACTGTATAATATTTTCCATCCTTCTTTCTTGGCAGCTCCATCTCAAATTGCTTTGATCCAAGCTAAAGAAATAACAAGACACAGTGTGGCATTGGCTTGGCTGGAACCTGACAGACCAAATGGAGTAATCTTGGAATACGAAGTCAAGTACTATGAAAAGGTATTATTCATGTTGGACAAATGACATTTTCCCATTCTAGTTGATGCCAGGTCCAAAAAAAGATTACTGTTATCATCACATAAATGCTCATTATTAGTGGGAAATTCTTTTGCTTTTGTAATCATATCCTGTTTGACATTTCCTATATTAGATCAATACCATATTGTACCCCTTTCTTGCTGTGTAGTAGCCAAACTAGCCATGGCATTTTTTCTCCCTCTCTTCCTAGGAGCTAGGGCTATTTGTAATGAGAATCACTACAGCAGAAAAGTAGTGCAACATTAGCCTTGCAACTGAGACAAATGTGTAAGAATGAAGTATATAACACAGTAATAATAATGAGCTCTGTGTGAGCTGATATCTTTCATCCATAATGATGGCGGAGGTTTGATAGTTTTAATAGAAAATATGAAAAAGAAAATTACATTCTTCACCTCCTCCAAGTAATGTGGAGACATTATTTCTACAAATAATTTGTTCCTCATACAATTCTGGGCTATGGAAAGAGCTATTTCCTCTCAAGGTTGTCTGCAAAGTGAACAATTACTTTTTCCTTCTCTCTTTTTTCTCATATAACACACACACACACAAACACACACACATTAAGATATAAAGGCTAGATTTTCACCGGAACAAGATTACATTTTCTCTGACACGTTTCCCAAGCAGTAAAGCAAAATAAAGAATTAAGTTTTGTGGAAGAAGATTGACAGACATTTTCTAAATTTCAAGGGTAAGTGGAGATTCAAGGGTTATTGAAAATAAAATATTGCTTGATCACGAGGAGGATTGTAATGTATCTGACTTTTCCAAATAATTTCATTCTTGACTTTTTGAAGCATTCATCAATACTTGCCCATATAACTTCCCAGTAATATTTTCTGTGTTTCTAACCAAAAAGAGGAAAGATTTAAATGTGGAAACCTACTAATCTGTCATATCTGTAAACATGGCAAAAGAAAAATGTTCAGCGATCTATTGGAAATTTATCTTTGTAGTTGATCAAGAAATTGACAAAATTCCAACTTCACATTACCAAGAAAGTCCTCTCAACTACTCTCTCCTGTTTTTGTTTTGTTAGGATCAAAATGAACGCAGTTATCGCATTGTGAAAACTGCAGCCAGAAATACAGATATCAAGGGCTTGAATCCTTTAACTTCATATGTCTTCCATGTGAGAGCAAGGACAGCAGCTGGATATGGAGATTTCAGTGGACCATTTGAGTTCACAACCAACACAGGTAAATAATAACAAAATGTCTTGAACTTCCATAAAGGATTTGTCACCATTTTGAAAAAAGATTGGTTTGGATCCAGTTTTTGGTAATTTAAAAGATACTCAGTGAAAGTAATGATATTTGAATGAATGTTCTTTTTGCCCAATATGGCAACATTTTACAGTTATATTTTATATTTTCAAAAATATGAATTCAAATGCCTACCTTTTTTTTTGTGGCCTTCTTTAGTGGTTACTCCTGCTAAAACTACATCAAATGCCAGAGCCTATTGTCCATATTTTCTGGACAAAATGAAACATAATAATGTTTTGTACTCACACTCAAGTATTGATACACTAATATGAATTAATTAAACATATTGAGCCATGGGTGAGAGTTTTGCCTTTGAAATGCTCAGACTTTTCCTTCTATAATGCAGAGTGGAAAGAGAAAGTTCATGATCTTTTGTAGGGGGGTGGCATATCTATCTTCAAATTACACGACAATGTTTCATTTGACCATGCTGCCCTCTTTCCATTGCTCTGTCTTACAGCCAGTCAGCCTCATGTTAGTTCCTTCGGAACTCCTGGGAATCCAGGAGATACTTGAGTGAAAATGCTTCTCTTCAGGTTGCCTCCAATTACTATAAGGAACTCAGAGAAACTTGGGAAGAGGCTCAGTTTAACCCTTACCTCTATAATGGCTCTCTATCTGGGCAGAACATAGTGTGGGTTTCATCTATTTAAATTTGTCCTTGTTGTTCCGTTGAACCCATGACTTTTCTGGTTGTTGATTGAAATAATTGGGTAAAAAGGTTACTCCACTCCCATGTTCTTGCCAAGTAATGTGGCACATTTTGCCTTTCTCCTAGCAAAGATTAGAGGATGTGTTGTTGCCTAATACTGCTGGTTGAATCTTCTAATGACCTGTCCAGTCATTAGACATAAAAAAGTGGTAGCCTGTATGTAATGGCAGATCTGATAGCAAGAAGCAGTAGCAAGGTGATAGAAGGCAGATATGAGTGAATATTGTTTATCTGAAATGCTTAAACCAGACATATTTTGGATTATTTTGGATTATGAAAAAAATCTATATTATATCATTTTAATTTATTTACTTTGGTTGTTATTATAAATTTTATTGATATTGTTTTATTATTGGTTTGAGTTGGTCTGTGTGTTTTTATTAACGGCATTGAATGTTTGCCACTTTTTTGTGTGGAAACCACCCTGAGTCCCCTTGAGGATATAGGGCAGGTTATAAATAATTATTATATTATTGTATCTGAAACCTCCCTTATGCCCCTCAAATAGACTGCTACCCTCAGGTATTACTCTGTCACCTAGGATGAAATAATCATAATTTATCTGTCCGTCTGGCATGTGTACATTGAATGGAATACCTCTCTCATACAATTGTATATAATGTATTTTATTGAACTTACACTTATTACAACACCTTAGGCAGCAAAGTATTTAGTGCCACCTCAACTTAGGGTCCTCTGGCGATAGACCTAAATGATTTAGGAGACCTCTGGCGATAGACCTAAGTGGACCTTTAGGGATCATTTTGGAGAACTAAAGTCTGTAAGATTGGCTTACCTTGTCCATTACTACCTGATATTTCTTCCTTGCAAATCTATCAAGCAATTGCACTGGTCAGTCCCCATCACTCCTAGGAAGAGAAAGTCCCTGGAGAACTACTGTCTATCAGAACAGACAATACTGTGCTGTATGGTCCAGTAGTTCTGTGGCAGGGCCAGCAGTTTCATGTTCACTTCTTTCTTGTTGCAGATGAACCCATCAGCAATCAGGCTGTCTAGAAGAACTGTCATTCAATGCAATAGTGCCTTGTTTTACATCAATCTGATCTTCTATTCCTGACTGCGAAATAAAAGATTTATTTGTATATACTGTGGTTCCATGTGTGTGCCTGCACTCACATCCATATGTTGGACAAATGCAAAAAAGTACGATTGCTTCTTGAGATAACAAGAAAGAAAGGGTGTTTAATTTCCACTGCACAAAGAAATTTTAATCAGTTCAGGTTGTGCTTTTCAGTGCTAACATCCCTCAGGCATGGCATGTGAAAATGTGAAACTGCACTACTCTGATGAAGAAGTGGAAAACATCTTGTTCTGTTTGAGTCTCCTCCTTGCTCATAGTCAAGGAATGAGCATCTGGTCCATTTTAAATCCAATAAAATGGGAAGCAGCTCAGTGGGCACTAAATCAGCCATTATATTCTCCAGAGTAAATGTGAAGGAAGAAGGAAGTCCTTATTCTCAACGGGTTTTCCCCTAAAACCATTATTGAGCTTAATGGTTTGATTTTTTTTACTAATTAAGACCCTCCTAGAAAATTATGACAAATAAATACCTAATGAAAAGACCCAAGAGTGGCTTTGAACAGTGCCATGAACTGCCAGTCTCTTTAGTTCAGCTACAGAAGTGAGTTCTCCTTTTTGTGATCTAGTGTTGCTTATATCTATAGCCTGATGGCAGAATGTTAACAGATATCTTTTTTCTTCCTAGTCCCATCTCCCATCATTGGGGAAGGTACCAACCCCACAGTTCTTTTGGTCTCAGTGGCTGGCAGTGTTGTCCTTGTGGTCATTCTCATTGCTGCCTTTGTCATCAGCAGGAGGTAAGAATTTGAGCTCGCCTTCTTTCTTTACTCCACCCCAATCTCTTTCCTGAGGGAGCTTTTTTGTCTCCCCCAAACAAAACTAAATTCTTTGATTAGCATGATAAACAGTGCATTTGCATCACAAGCCCTCTCTTGTGTTGCTTTGATCTTCTCAACAGTGCTTCCACAGCAGCATGCAATGTAATGGTAATAGTTCTAGAGTTATTTGCCCTTCAAATGCAAAATTGATTCTAGTGATGGGATGGTGAGGGGTTTTAAGATGCAAGCCAATAACATGGGATCTGAAGGGAGACTGTAATTTGATGTCGAGTTTTAATGAATGCATCTTTAAAAGTGCCAGAGCAGATTTTTTAAATCGTGTTGTGAGCCCTCTGTATCTGAGCTGGTACACGCGGAAGAGATTCCTTCTTGATTTTCTGATCGTTCTTGCATTTGGCTTTCTTACTGGCTGAGAGACCACTTTACATGTGCCAACCTGGTTATACTAGGGCCCCTCTAATCTTTCCCATTGTGTACCTCTTCAGGAATCAAAAACTTTTACTTAAGCTCATACAACTGTAAATGAGTTTTCTTTTATTTAGTGGTTTACCATGTAGTGCTTACCTATCGTTGTTTGTAGTGGGTACAGGGAGGCAGATCAAAGGAACAGGAGAGTTATAAAATAGCCCAGTTCTTACAGTGAAACAGATAAAAAGTTGGATAAACAGAATATTTTTGGGTGTTTGAACACTCCCATAGAATCATCTAGTACATTATTAGGGATTCAAAACTCAGGACAAGGAAGAGGATGTAAATCACTTTTGCAAATCACGAAATACATCAAAAATGGACAAAAGGAAGCTATCTCTGTCATGATTTGGATAAGGCTGAGGAGGCCAAACCCATAGGCTTTGTGAAGCTTATGAGCAAGCTTCATGCAAGTGGGGAGGGAAAAATGGGATAGAGAAGATACAGTGACTATGATGATGGTTGTTGGATTTGGGGAATGGAAATACAAAATACCTTTTCCAGTCCAAAGCTTTTAGTCATTATGATCCACTTTTGGGTTTCCCAGAATTTCTTGCTTACCATTACCTTGAAAATAAGATGATATACTAGAAAAATGCTTGCTGTGATCCAGCAGTGCTCCTCTTAATTTCTGATCATATATATAAATAAGATCATGTTTCTTCTTTTTCCTTCAAATTGTTTTATATCTGCTTCTTTTTTTAAAAAAAGGAAAAGCAGTTTAATCCATGTGGTTATAATATCTGATAAGTAGTCATTTACTGTAATGGATTTCAGTGGGTGTTCAGCAGGTTCACCTGTCTACATGCTGACAAAAGAAAAAGATTGTATGAAAATATAATGCAGAGGGATAGGTTTATTAAAAACCACTGCAACAGAAAACATCGCTGAGCCTGATGACTTAAATCCCCTTCTGTTTTCATTGATTGTTTTGTTATTTATGGCAGAACTGATACTTTGAAAACTTTGGAATTCTAATTATGAAAAACCTAGAAAAACTCTTCCTGTCGAGTAGTTCTGAGATTGTTTCCACTTTGCCTCCTCATTTTTATTTTATATATGTTTTATTTCTGTTTTTATTTTTAAAGCCACTTCCCTAGGCAGATAAACAGTGCCTCAATGGATCATTTTTTAAGAAAATGAAATGTCAACCCCTTTGCCCTCCTATTGATTCTCTTTAGTATCGGCCATAAAGCTGTCAAAGGGAAGGCTATTGGGAACCGGCTACCTGACAGACTTTCTGGAGTTGATGTGCCTGCTACTGGCACTTCTTTTGGTTTAAAATGCTTGCTTAGAAGAGTTCAGACTGGACAAAAAAGCAGCTAAATGGATATGCTTTTGAGTTAGAATGGGTACTTTGCCCAATAGCTTGTGGGAATGATATAAAGGAAACCAGTAAACAGTGGTTTGAAATTTGTTGGGCTGATGCTGAAAGATGTAGCTCTGATATCAGGGACTGTACATATAGGGAACAGATCTTCTGAAGTCAAGCAAACTATCTCACAACGCTGAATTCTCTTGGGAGTTGTGCACATTCCACAATCTGTTTAAATCTGTGCCAAGTATCATCATGAGGGCATCCAAATTGTGTTTCAGAGCTGATTGAAGATTTTCTAAGCAATCTGCATGCAACTAAATGTAGCTTGTTTTCTTTCCTGTTTTTTTTTTCTGGACACGGAATATATGCCATGTTTTCAATTTCTCTTGCACAATTTACACACACACATTCATGGAAGAGGGGAAATTATACTGATGTTTTAACACCTCTGCACTGTGAATATCAACTATGCCAGGATTCTGTGTGATTTTTCCATGCTAAAGTGGACTTATATTGTTCTAATTGTATAATTCAAAAGAGCCTGTGGAATGACAGTCAACCTTGTAAAGAGTTTTTAAGGTTATGTTACAGGTCTCTTCCGTGTTTGTTTGTTGTTGATAGCAATCAAGGAGAAGGGCTTTCAGGGGCAGAAAATTGTCCCAGATCTACTATAATTGCTCCCAGATCTACTTGCAACTCTTGTTGCAAGTGCTCCCATATATTATAGAGTCCATAACAAAAATTAAGTGATTCTAAGTCATGTCAGTATTGTCAGAAACCCAATCAACAAAGGTATGTTCCCTAGCAGCTCCATCAAATTTGGCTCATTTGACCAGCATTTTCACTTGACTCCAAGACATTTCATATAGAACTCAGCTGATTATCTCCTGAGTTTGACTTCATGGAGGTGTAAAAACAAATACCTGGCAGAATTGGTGTTTGCACAGGTGGCCCCTACTAGGTGGTTAACTAGTTAGATCTTTAGAGAACCTGATACTTGTTTCCTCTGCAGATAGATCATTCTGCTATAGCTGTTTATTTGATACTTTGTTGTGTCTTTTTATGGCTTTGGACTTGTTGCCCCAGTGTTGTTTTTACAGGGGTAGGGTGCAACATAAATAATTTTCATAAATAAATGATTGAAATGTAACTGCTGAGTGTTACAAGGTGTTTTCCAAAAGGGCGCAGAGTGGTACAGAGTGTTGCTTCATTTGTGTTTGTATCTCATTAGATACTGTTTCACTAAAAGCTGTTTTTATGATAATCACAAACTAGATAAATCAAACTATCTAGAATTAAGAGACTAGAGTTCCACTGAGGTCCCTGTAGTGATGGGTTTTGGCAGGCTTACAGCCTCCTCTGTGTCTGCTCCAACACGTTATTCAAGAAGCTCTTTTAAGCTTTTTACTGCCTTTGTTTCCCTCACTGTGATTTAAGAAGGTCGAAGTTGCCATCTTTGGTGCATTGGCAAGGAGAAAAGTATGTGGTTCCATGCTGTTTTCCTACAATACCTGCTAATACGGCTTGGCTCTCATTTGTCCTGTGCCCTGTCTGCCTGTCAAATTTTAAGACACACCTCTCCTTTATATTAAAGTCCCACCTGTGGACTGTCCTGGGCTCTTTGACCCCTGCAGTTTTTCAAAATGCTGGCATTCCCTTCCTTGGACCCCGCCTCCCATTTAATCACGATCACCCAAATCCCTATAATTATGAGGCTGAGTGCTGTGACAAAGGCTTCTTTTTGTCATTCAGGTGAGTTGTCTTATGAATACGAGCTTGTGCCTAGCATTCCTCAGGCATCCTGAGAACTTCCCATGGCCTCCCAGTGACTTAGTAATGAGTGTCTGGGTGGGAAGCAACAGAGGGAAGTATCTTTTCAAGACAATAGGCCCCAGCAGTCTCCCACCCAAAGCAAAAGCTCAACAGGTGACCTGAGTAGAACTGAAGCAAATCGTAGGTTGGGAAGCCTTTATTAACAGCTAATAAGCTGTAATTAGAAGGACCAAAAAGTGTCCTTGTCCTCTTTTTAGTTTCTTCTTTCTTCAGAACATGTGTATCCATTTTCCTTGCAGTGCTTTTATGTTAAAGCAAAATAAAAGGGGGATTTTAAGCCAATTTTTCTCTGCTTCTGGCAAGAGAATGCATATATAAATTAAGTGACTAGAGGTGTATGAGTCCAAATTATGTATAAGTTTGAATCAGCTGCAATGTGTTATCCATTTAGCTTTAGGTCATGTTGATGAACAGTGGGCAGTAATGACCGACAGTCTGGAGGGCCAGAAGTTTCCAGATCTTCATCTAAACAGAACAGTTTATGTACTGTGTCCTTATTTTTATAGACTTAACGCGCGTGCGCGCGCGCGTGTGTGTGTGTGAGAGAGATTTCTATGCTAAACTTTGATATAAACTCAGTTTGTCATTGGATTTGTGTGTATTTGTTGTTGTATGATTTCAAGTTCCTTCTCACTTACAATGACCCTAATGCAAACCCATCATGTGTTTTTCTTGTCAAGATTTGTTCAGAGAAGATTTACTATGGCCTTCCTCTGAAGCTAAGATTGTGACTTTTGGGTTTCCATAGTTGAGCAGGGATTCCAATCAAGGTCTCTAGAGTCCTGCTTCCATATTCAAACCATTTGTATAAGATGTAACAGACTTCCTCAACCTGGTGCATTGGGATTCTTAGACTACATCTTCCATCACCCCAACCTAACATGGACAGTAGTGGATGACAGAAACTTTAGTCCAAAATATCTGAAGGCTGCCATGTTGGAGAAGAATCATATATGTAATGTCCTTGTATAGGCAGTCTTCATGAGGAACGCAGTTAATTCCTTGTTAGTGCACATTTCATTGCCATAGTATTGCACTTCTAATATAAGGTATAAAGTCATCTTACATATAAACTTAGGGGCAAAATACATTAAATGTGCTTCAATTGGAACAAAGAGTAAAGACAAAACATGTAAGAAAGCATGTGTATACAAGAGAAAGCATACCTGGAAGTCACCTATCGATTCTATAAATCTGAAAGGGTTTCCTCATGCAGAGTATTCAAAGATAGTTTGCCAGGATATAGATCCAAAAATGTGTTAAGGATGTCCATGAACATTGTAGATTTGGCAGTGCTGAAGTGTGTATGTATTTGGGGAATCATAGGACTTCATAGGAAAAAGCAGCAAAAGCTGTAGTAGTCCTAGAAGATGGCAATTTTGAATTATACTTCTTAGCAATACTTGTTCTTTGGGTATATTCATCTTATGGGCCAAACCGAAGGACCTAAGAACATACAACAACGCTAAGATCAACTGAAGTTGGTAGTTGCTTTTAACTATGTCAAAGTTCTTTCTTTATAAAAAGCTTTTATTTTATTAGATTTTTAGATGCTGCTACATTTATAAAAACCCTTATTGGGAAATTAAAGTTATAAATATTATGCATAGAACGTGTGTTGTAATAATATGAATAGTCTTAATATGAAGCTGTAGAATAATATGTTATTTATGTGCACATGAGGAGGGTGAAAACAGCTTAATCAGGTATATGCTTGTAATTTATATTTAAACATCAACTAGATTTTACTTGCAGATCTGGCGACTACATACAAATACCATAATTGCTACATACTTGTACAGATCAGTACAAAACACAACTAGTGCTTCCAAATTTGACACAGAAATGCTTCATGTTAATGCACAAACAAAAACAACAAACAACAAAACAGATTTTTCCAAATGCAGAGTATTGTTTTGCTTGATCATAATATTTAGTGCCATCCAAGTAAGTTGACAGTTTCTGTTGTTACAAGTAGGTTTAAGTTTAGGTTAAGTCATTGACTGAAGGAGCAGAGAGAACATGTTTTGGCAGGTCTACTAATGCAAGTGTTGGCAGGTCTGGAAGAATTGCATTTCACCATTATGTAAGGTATTTATTTTGATTTATAATGCTCTTTTTTTATTTCAACAGACGGAGCAAATATAGTAAGGCGAAGCAAGAAGCAGATGAGGAGAAACATTTGAATCAAGGTAAAAGACAGTGATGCTTGGTTTGTCGATGTGGTTCACAAAGCATGTCCTCTCTGGGTGTTCTTGGCGGTGGGTGGGTGGGTGGGGGGGGTACGTTTTCATAACATATTCCTAGATTTTCATGATAGAAGCAGCTGCCATTTCTGTTTCACCCGACAAAGGAGAAAGATCTCCGGGAATAAGGAAATTGGGAATTGTTGCTTTACCTCATTTTTTTTTAAAAAATAACTGGAATCTGCACAGTTTCTTCCTCTCTTGTATCTGTATTGAAATAAGACTTTTACTTTTAACTATGATGCCTCCTGAGAAGGAGAAGCAGCAATTTCAGAAGCTGCTGTTACCTCTGCATCGCCTTGAGTTCAGCCTCATAAAACTGAACTAGTAACCACAGCAGCAGCATTAGAAGATGCAACAAAGGAGTCATATCAAATTATTCAATCATTTAGAAATTCAATAAGATTTGATTCCTCAAAACTCTGTACTATAGATCTCCTTATTTTGCACCAAACGTAGTGATCAGCAAATGCATTTACTGCAAAGATGTGAGTACATTTTCAAATCTCGCAAGGTATTTGAGACTTTAGAAAAGCAGTAATAATTTTAAAAGATCACAAAGTGGTTTGGGAGGAGCCAGCCTTCCTTGGCATGATGGAATAAAGCACAGCATTTTCTGAACTTATGAACAGTAGTTTTTTGGGTGTGGTGGGGACAGTATGCATCCCGTCTGCATTCGGTATGCATTCTTTTTTTTCTTTAGGGGAAGGGGCAGGAGATGGTATTTGATATTTTAAATACCTCAGTTGTTGTGGCTATCCCAAGTAACTTACATTTATCATAATCCATGCCTGTTGTTTTTCTTTCTATTTATATCCTGTACTTTAAACATTAAAAAGATTACCATTAAAACATAAAAAAGCCAAAATTAAAGTATAGCCATTTTAAAAGCACATGTTCTAAAGTTACACAATATAATTTGTAACAATGCAACACTTGTAGTTCTCCGTTAAATGAAAAAGTATTTGCCCACTGCTGGAAGGAAACTAAAGAGATGTTTCAATGCGTAGGCCCTATCAGGCTTTCCTCAGCCATTTAATAGATATCTAAATCAGACTTTTAAGATTTTAGGTTACAAAAGGGTATCACATCTCTATACCACAGCTCCCTGTGAATAAATCTCGTTGACGTCAGCCTAGAACTTACTCCTGAATAGGCAAGCATATAGAATAGAAAAGTGCCTGTCCACACAGAAATCTGATACCTGAACATGTGTGCCTCTCATTTTACATACATGTTTTTATTTCCTCTTGGATTGCTGGAATGAATGGTTGCACTGATGTTGAATAAAAATGCATGTAAAAAACACTGCCATATCATTAACTTGCTCAGTCTTACTATTCACACAAATTATTTAAAATAATTTCCCATGTTGAAAACTCATAGTAACATTATCCTATGAAAGCATTTTTTGAACAGTCACAAGGATTGATATCTCTGTGTGTGATTTTGGAAATAATTGTTTTGTGGTGAAGTATTTATTTATAATCTTCAAGAGAAAATTCAGATTCCACCTACTATTTATTTCTTTGCATATAGAATTTGTGGAGGTCACTCCTTCTAGACATCCATTTTGAGATGGCTTCCATATGGGAAGGGGAACTCTAAAAGAAATTTAATATCAGATATGTGTATCCATTATTGCTCCTAATAAAATCTACTGAGAATAAAAGCATTGTATTGGTACTCTCCCTCTCCCTTAAAAAAGCAATTTTTATTTGTTACACAAGTTGACTTTAATATATTTCCTCTATCAGTGACATTCAGCCCTGGAGCAAAAGTTGATTACTTATTTAAATATGTGGAAAGACTTACGTATAATAAGATTGCACAGTCTTTTTGGGTGTTTGTTTTTCTTCACTCATCTTCTGTATACATGTGCCTGTGATTTTATGGTTTGCATGTCTAAAGCAACAACCTTTGACAAGACGTATTTGCATTACAGGTGTTAGAACATATGTCGATCCCTTCACATATGAAGATCCAAACCAAGCTGTGCGAGAATTTGCCAAAGAAATTGATGCTTCTTGCATAAAGATTGAAAAGGTCATTGGTGTTGGTAAGCCAAATATATATATATATTTAGTTAAGGACAGTTGGTTAGCAAAAATTGATTAATAATGATTGGATTATAAATTCTTGCAATTACTTAATTACTTTTATGGCCAGGCCCCTTGGTTGAATAGATCTCATTTCCATCTTTATCTATCTATAATATTTTCAGAGTGGCTAAACCACTTTGCCAAGAGTACAAAGTTGAACGAATTCCTCACTTGCCTTGCAGATATTTTTTTTTGTCAGAAGGTAGAAGAGGCAACAAGGGGATTAGCTATTTTGAATCTGATCCTAACACTGAGGATCTGATCCTTAGGTGCAAGTGACCATGTGCTCTTAGAGTTTGTGATACAAATTAAGGGTGAAGCTAAGAGAAGTCATACACATATTCTATACTTTAGGAGAGCTAACTTCAGGAAATTCCATGGACAGGGATACTAAAAGAGTTAATGATGAATGGGAGTTTCTTAAAAGTGAGGTACTGAAGGCACAATTGCAAACAGTGCCAGCAAGGAGAAAAGAAACAGAAGGTTTAAAACAACCAGAATGGATTTCCAAAGAACTTTTAACTGAGCTAAGATTTAAAGGACAACAAATGCACAACAAATGAAAAAGGGGGGAAATCACCAAAGATGAATTCAAACAAATAACCAACATATGTAGGGGAAAGGTTCATAAGGCTAAGGCACAAAATGAACTTAGGCTTACCAGAGAGATTTAACCAATAAAAAGGGGTTCTTTGGTTATGTCAGTAGAAAAATGAAGACAAAGGAAACGGTAGGGCCTCTGTGAGGAGAAAGTGGTGAAATGCTATCAGGGGATAGGGAAAAGGGAAACCTGCTCAACACCTTCTTTGCCTCAGCCTTCCCCAAAAGGAGATTGGGGTTCAACCTGAGCAATACGGAGTGGACAAGGTAATAGGGAAGATGCAACCCAAAATAGAAGTAGTCCAGGAATACCTGGCAACTCTAAATGAATTCAAGTCTCCAGGGCCAGATGAACTACATCCAAGAGTATTGAAGGAACTAGCAGAGGTCATTACAGAAGCACTGGCAAAAATCTTTGAGAATTCTTGGAGAACAGGAAAAGTCCCAGCAGACTGGAGGAGGGCAATTGTTGTCTCTATCTTCAAGAAGGGCAAAAAAGAGGACCCAAATAATTACCGTCCTGTCAGCCTGATATCAATACCAGGAAAGATTCTGGAGCAAATAATTAAGGAGGCAGTCTGCAGTCACTTAGAAAGGAATGCCATGATTACTAAAAATCAACATGGATTTTTCAAAAACAAGTCATGACAAACTAAGCTTATCTCTTCTTTCAATAGAGTTACAAACTTGGTAGATGCAGGCAATGCTATGGATGTAGCATATCTTGATTTCAGTAAGGCTTTCGACAAAGTCCCCCCATGACCTTCTTGCAAGCAAACTAGTCACATGTGGGCTTGTCAATACTACTATTAGGTGGATCAGTAATGGGTTAAGCGACCGAACTCAAAAGGTGCTCACCAATGGTTCCTCTTCATCCTGGAAAGAAGTGACTAGTGGAGTGCCGAAGGGTTCAGTGCTGGGCCCAATTCTGTTCAACATCTTTATTAATGACTTTGGATGAAGGTTTAGAAGGCATGAATATCAAGTTTGCAGATGACACAAAATTAGGAAGGATAACTAATACAGGATCAGAATTCAAAATGACCTTAACAGATTAGAGAGCTGGACCAAAACTAACAAAATGAATTTCAACAAGGACAAATGTAAGATACTAAACTTAGTCAGAAAAAAATTGAAATGTAAAGATACAGGATAAGTGATGCCTAGCTCAACAACAGTCCATGTGAAAAAGATCTTAGAGTCTTCATGGACAACAAGTTGAACATGAACCAATAGTGTGGTGCAGCAGCTAAAAAAGGAAATGGGATTTTGGGTTGCATCAAAAGGAGTATAGTGTCTAGATTGAGGGAAGCCATGGTGCCTTTGTATTCTGCTTTGCTTAGACCTCACTTGGAATACTGTGACCAGTTCTGGGCACCACAGTTAAAAAGAGATATTGACAAGCTGAAACGTGTCCAGAGGAGGGCAACTAAAATGATCAATGTCTGGAGACACTCCCTATGAGGAGCATCTTACAGAACTGGGTATATTTATCCTGCAGAAGAGAAAGTTGAGAGGAGACATGACAGCCGCCATGTATAAATATGTAAACAGGCGTCATAAGGAAGAGAAAGCAGATTTGTTTTCTGCTGCCCTTAAAACTAGGACTAGAAGCAATGAGTTCAAATTATAGTAAAGGAGATTCCACCTGAACATTAGGAAGAACTTCCTGACCATATGAGCTGTTCAACAGTGGAACTCTTCGCCTCAGAGTATTGGTGGAAGCTCCTTCCTTTTAAACAGAGGCTGGATGGCCATCAGTTAGGGATACTTTGATTGTGCTTTTCCTGCATGGCAGGGGGTTGGACTAGATGACCCATGTGGTCTCTTCCAACTCTATTAGTCTACGAATTAACAAGATCCATTCATTCTCCACTCCATAGGTGAATTTGGTGAAGTTTGCAGTGGTCGTCTCAAGGTTCCAGGAAAGAGGGAGATCTGTGTTGCTATCAAAACTTTGAAAGCTGGATATACAGACAAACAGAGAAGGGACTTCTTGAGCGAAGCCAGCATTATGGGGCAGTTTGACCACCCCAACATAATCCACTTGGAAGGAGTTGTTACAAAATGTAAGTAGGCCGTGATCTATTACACCATGTGTGACCATGCCTTTAACCAGAACAGTTTCAAAGTCACTATGAAATTAAATCTGTACAGGGCTTTCCTCTGTCTTGCTGTGAAATGACAGATGGGATGGATCCACTGATAGCTAATAGGAGGAAATCAGTGCAGAAGCAGTCATTAATCTTCTTGTCAGCTATAAATGGTTTTATTGTTACAGCCGATACTCTATCTCCAAGCAACTTGTGCATAATTTTACAAGGAAACATAACACTACAAGGTTTTAGGGGAGATGTGATGGAAGGATGTTTGCGTTTGAATGTTTTTTTCCCCTTCCCGTGTCTTTTTATTGGTGTACCAGTGGGTATTTTTGAAAATCATCTTTTAAGTTCAAGGTGAGATTTTATGGGGTTGGAAAGAAGCAGGTGGTAATCAAAGTAGCTAAAATATTTTGTCAGAGTCACAGCACAGTAAACTTTCAGTATTATATGCTTGAGGAATTTTAGGTACCACTGTAGAGAAGGAGACTTCCTTTATATGTGTCTTCTGATTTCTTTCATGTGTTTATTTCCATTTTGAGCCACATCTGTCCTTGTATATACCCCCCTCCCCAATCCCCGCAAAGGCTATTAGCATTCACTGTACCAGTAAACTCTGGTCTCACTAAAAATAGAGTGAAACCTCACAGTCACGGTTTTCAGGCTAGAATTCAAATGCACCTGTGAAATTTGTGTTAGCCTGCCAGAGCAAAAAACCAGGCAGGGTGTATGCTGTACAGATCCTAACTGTTTGAGATGGCCCTGCTCCAGAGAGATCACTGGGCTTAACTGTAAAACATAGCCAGGTTGGTATTGTTGGAAGGAAAATAGCTGTTGAGCTTTCAGTTTGTGTTTCATTTTATTAAACCAAAGACTTTACTGGGTAGTTTGGTTTGACTAAACCATTAAAGTTTATCAGTGTTTCCAGGTAATCCTGAACATTGCCCATTACAGAATATAACATTTATCAATTGTATTTGTTTTTTAAACGTCCTTGTTTTAGTTACATAAGGAGCTCAGATTTGCAAAATTATTTCATAGGTTGTAATGGTGCTCTTACCATAGCAGAGCAAAAAGGGGGCTCTTCCCTATTATACTCAATCCTTTTCCCTGTCACTCCCTATCCAAACCAACTGGAGGGCTGGGGAATGATCCAAATGTGATTTTCAGGTAGCATTGCGGTCTACAAGATGGAAGGAGAAAAGTTTGGAAATGTATACCAGTGGAACATTGAATTTAGTCCTATATCATGAATAGTAAAGGTAAAAGTTTCCCCTTGGCTACTCATGTCCAACTCTGGGGGGTGGTCCTCATCTCAATTTCCAAGCCGAAGAGCTGGTGTTGTCTGCTCTAAGGTCATGTGGTCAGCATGACTGCATGGAGCACCGTCACTTTCCCAGTGAAGCGGTACCTATTGATCTACTCACATTTGCTTGTTTTCAAACTACTAGGTTGGCAGAAGCTGGGGCTAACAGTGGGAGCTCATGCTGCTCTCTGGATTTGAACTGCCGACCCCTCAGTCAGCAAGTTCAGCAGCTCAGTGGTTTAACCCACTGATCTACCAGGAGCTCCATATCATGAATATAAATATTGTTAATTACATATGGGCAGATAAAAAAGATATACAAGTGCTTGTTTTCTCTGTAATTCTACATTTATCTGTTTTTTTAAAAAAAAACTTTGTAATCAAACTCAACAGCAGATAGTGAGAACACTGATTACATTTCAAGTCACAAGTATTTTAAAGAAAAGCCTATGAATTTCTTTGCTGAAAATTGTGCTTGGTTGTCACATTTAGGGCCTCCTGAAGTTTCATAGTAGCCTAGATTGATATCTGAACAGTTTAAGTGATTTTACAGATCTATTTCCTTTAAAACGTTATTTCTGTTTTAAGCTGCAGTATTTTTCCCCTCTAGAGACAGTATTTTCATACCACCTTAGTGAAACAAAGAATCAACAAGGGGATCTTTGTATTGAAATCCCACCGAGGCTTTTGACCCCCAAGCTGTTACAGCTGTAACAGTTATAAATGATGAGATAGCATTTGCATAATGCACTTGTCACTGCATTAAAATGATTTAAAATTCCCAACAGAAGGTGGGAGGCCAAACCTAGTCAATCTGTTGCCTGATTCCTTAAAGTTTATGTTTTTGCTGCAAGCCAGCAGAGGCACCTCCAAGCCGCTACCATTTGCTAAACAGGGTTACTTAGGCAGACATTCATCTCAATTTTTTTCCTGTAGGTTTACAGAGTCTTTGTGATAAATGGGTGCATTTAAGACTCCTGAAATTACAACACAAGATAGATGGTTGGGGTCATTTTGATGTGTGTGTTTTGTGCGGGAGAGAGTGTGTGGAGTGCAGGCTAGCAAGATAGCACTAATACATTATTAATGGTGAATCAGGCACTTTTAATAATTGACCTCAGGATGACAACACGCTCTTTTAGAGCTTGTGGTCAGCCTTTGTGGGTAGATTCTTTGGATCCATTTTTTCATACTGTATGGGTAATTGTACAGTCATATTATGGTCGTTCCTCCACCAAGACAGATTAATCATTGCCTCCAATGTGTCATATTTTCAATATAAACATAAATAAGGATCTAAATAAAATAAATAAATACAAACATCATTTTCTTTTATTTTAAATAAACAAAGAAAAACCACATAGTTGAATCAAAGTCCAAGAGAAGGTATATACCTTCACATTACCCAGTACCACTCAGGGACCACCACAAGCTGACTGGAGAAATTAGAGCAAAATAAGATGACAAATGGCATTGAATCTCATCTTCTTTCTCTCACAGCAACACTTCTCTGCATAGGTTTAATGACTACAGAAGTTATGAATTAATATATTCAAATGAGGAGTGTCTCTTTATTTCTTTAAGTTGACAAAGTACCTTTTGATTGCAGAAGGTTAATTAAAACCCATTTAGATCTATTTGTTCTGTCAAGTGACTAGTCACAGTTGCAAAGAGTAAATGACATGGGGAAATATGCAGATTTGGTCTGAGTGAGCTCCATTCTCACTGATGAATATCAGGAGGTGTAAATGCTCATATATCAAGAAGGTGATTTTCCGCAGCCTTTGCCTTTAAGTATTTGAATTCCTGGCCAGAATTTCTAAGCTCATATTGATGCAGCTGTCCTAGATTTTTGCACACATAGAGAGTGAGCAAAAGAGAAACCTTTGTTCATGCAAATAAGATAGTTATGGCTACAGATGCCTGATTTTCAATTCACATACAGACTAGTTTGCATGCGGAAATGTGGAATGAGACCAGGGAACTGAATAGTTTGGCACTGTCTTCAAGTGCCATGGGAGTCATGAACATACATGTTCCGAGAACGGCCTTCAACCAGCTGTCCCTAATGAAAACAACAAAAAAAATTAAAAATTGCAAAGGTGCAAAATTGACAGGACATTAATATTCCTTAGCATATTGTTTTCTAATCAAAACAAGTTATTTCTGAAATAGGAGCTCCTGGTAGAATTGCAAGTGGAGGCAACCTGCTGAGTGAAAAATGTGCTAATGTAGAAACAATTATAAGAGCTTTTCAATATGAAAATATTTCACAGGGGCCCAATTTTTGCTAGCCAAACATTTGTGCAGTTCCCACTGGTGGATATATATCCTTTGTTAAATGGAAAAACTATTTGGCCTTCATTAAATTTCTCTGGTCAGGAATAATTTCTGTTTACTTAAACAGATTCCTCTTCCTCGTATTTGTGAGAAGGCTCCCCTCTCCTAATCCGTACATGGTGAATGCATATGTGGTACTGCTCCCAGCATGTTCCTGTACCTAACTATAAGATCCCATCTCGGTCTTTACAAACTACAGGCCTTGAGTATATAAGTGATATATTGGAATCATTCAGAGACTTCAGCGTTCTGTTCACATAGTATCCCACTAGTTGCCCAAGAGAAGCCCAGAAGCAGGCTGTGGAATACTAGAGTAACTTTTAATCATTGGTTTAAATGTTTAGATGTTTCTAATTCTATGTTTTTAATGCATATGTTTATTAAGAAGCATTGCTAACAACAAGGGATCCCAGCTGAACTGTTTAAAATCTTGAAAGATGATGCTGTCAAGGTGATGCATGCCATATGCCAGCAAATATGAAAAAAACACAAGAATGGCCATCAGACTGGAAAAAAAACAACTTATATCCCCATACCAAAAAAGGGAAATGCTAAAGAATGCTCAAACCTTTGTACAGTGCCCTTATTTCTCATGCTAGTAAGGTAATGCTCAAGATCCTGCAAGGAAGACTCCAGCAATACATAGAGTGAGAGTTGCCCGATCTACAAGCTGGGTTTAGAAAAGGCAGAGGAATGAGAGACCAGATTGCTAATATCCGCTGGATAATGGAGAAAGGCAGGGAGTTTCAGAAAACATCTATTTCTGTTTTATTGACTATTCTAAAGCCTTTGACTGTGTGGATCATAACAAATTATGGCAAGTTCTTGGTGGGATGGGCATCCCAAGCCACCCTGTCTCTCTCCTGAGGAATCTGTACAAGGACCAAGTAGCAACATTAAGAACTGACCATGGAATAACAGACTGGTTCAAGATTGGGAAAGGCGTATGGCAGGGTTGTATACTCTCACCCAACCTATTCAGCATGTATACAGAACACATCATGCGATGTGCGGGGCTTGACAAATGCAAGGCTGGGGTAAAAATTGCTGGAAGAAACATTAACAACCTTAAATATGCAGATGATATCACTTTGATGGCCAAAAGCGAGGAGGAGCCTTTTAATCAAGGTGAAAGAAGAAAGCACAAAAGCTGGGTTGCAGTTAAACATTAAAAAACCAAGATTATGGCAACAAGAATGATTGATAGGTGGCAAATAGAGGGAGAAAACGCGGAGGCAGTGACAGACTTTGTATTTCTAGGTGCAAAGATTACTGCAGATGCATACTGCAGCCAGGAAATCAAAAGATGCTTACTTCTTGGGAGGAGAGCAATGTCTAATCTCGATAAAATAGTGAAGAGTAGAGACATCACACTGGCAACAAAGATCCGCATAGTCAAAGCAATGGTATTCCCCATAGTCACCTATGGATGTGAGAGCTGGATGATAGGGAAGGCTGAGCGAAGGAAGATAGATGCTTTTGAACTGTGGTGTAGGAGGAAAGTTCTGAGAGTGCCTTGGACTGCGAAAAGATCCAACCAGTCCATACTTCAGGAAATAAAGTTCGATTGCTCATTGGAGGGAAGGATAGTAGAAGCAAAGATGAAGTTCTTTGGCCACATCATGAGAAGAAAAGAAAGCTTAGAGAAGACAATGATGCTGGGTAAAATGGAAGGAAAAAGGAAGAGGGGCCAACCAAGGGCAAGATGGATGGATGGGATCCTTGAAGTGATTGGATTGACCTTGAAGGAGCTGGGGTGGTGACGGCCAACAGGGAGCTCTGGTGTGGACTGGTCCATGAGGTCATGAAGAGTCAGAAACGACTGAACGAATGAACAACAACAAAATGTTTATTTTATTGTATGTCTATATAAGCGGCATTGAGTTGTTGCCTACTTGTAAGCTGCTCTGAGTCCCCTTTGGGGTGAGAAGGGCAGGGTATAAATACAGCAAATAAATATACATAAATAAATACCCGCCATTGTGTTGGGGCAAAATAATGATATTGTTCCTCAAGTGAAATTTTCCTTCAGCTTCCTGAGTGAGTGAAGCACTGAAAACTGTTCACACAGAGGAACTCTTTGCTGTGTTCAAGTTTCCTTAGGCACTTTGTCTGTCTCTTTTATTTGAATGCATAAACTATATTTCTGTATTCTCGACTAAGGTTTTATGCTACTGCAATGCTTAACAAAAATTGGTGCCTGAAGAAAGAAATTGGTTGAGGTAGCAATTTTATTTTCAGGGTGGCAGTGCACTTGGTTTTCCCACCTCTAGTATTAGTATCCCTGAGACCATAGCAAATAGTACTGGTTCAGGGAAAGTATCTCCATTGTGACCGTACTGAGTAACAACTCAATTCTTCATAGATTTATCCATTCTTCTTTAAAAAAAACTATACAAGTGGGGGTCCATCATTACATCTTATGATGTCAGATATCACAGAATCTAGCTTCAGTGGATGGCCTCGAGTTCTAGTTCAATGGGAGCAGCTTTTCCCAATTCACTTTTTCCACACCATGTAGAATATTATACATTTCTGTTATCTTTTACTTACCATTACTGTATTACCATTTTTTCTATGTTAAACAACTTCAAATCAGTTCAACCTGGACACGGGAGTTGTTTCATCCTCTCAACAATTTTCTTCACATTTTGAATCAAGAGTGTTTAGAGAATCTGATTCTCAATCACAGTGACACCTTAGCACCTCAAAGTAAGAAGGCGACTTGGAAAGCTCTAATTTAAATTGGAGCCCTACTAGAGTATATTGAATCAATGACTGAATGGTAAATCAGCAGTGAAACAAATCCCACTGATGGTCTCACTTTTGGGGGGGTTAGCAAATGGATCAGTGGTGATATGTTTGCAAGATACTTTGACAATATGAGTGTGGATAGTGCATACTAATATATTAATGGATAATATTTAAATATAAAGGCATCAATATATAATATTTAGTATAACATCTGTAAGCAAGCCAATTTTCAGCTAAATATATATTTATTTTGAAAACTTTTTTTGCAGCATAGAGTTCATTGATTAATTTGTCCTTGCCTCCTTCAATATGAAGAAAATGAATGCAGTGTGTTTTTATATGACCAAATAATGGCTATGAATTCAGTAAATAGAAGGGAAATGGTTGTTTATGCCACACCTGAATCTTGTCTTACAACTGACAGCCTGCATCCCTCAGACCATAACTTTTGATTTTTCTTAACCGAAAGCCTACGGACATACCAATTCCCTAGCAAACGATGCAATTATCTTTACATTACTCCATGTGCAAATAGACCTATTTGGGTCTATTACAGCATTGCCATTTCTCTTTAGTGAGCAATTATGGATTCTTATATTCTCTGGAGACTCTGGTGTATACCGTAGTTAAAGACCTTGTCAATGAGTCAGCTGAAGTGTTAATCTTCTGGCTGGAACTCTCAAACACTATAGTTTTGTATTCTTTCTTTCTTTTTTCCTCATTCTACCTAAGTAGGAAGCTTTTGGAACTGTATTTTTTGAAAAATATCCCATAGTCATCTGAATCTATCAATTTTGTCTTTTTTCCCTCCAAATTCTAGGCAAACCTGTCATGATCATAACTGAGTATATGGAGAACGGCTCTTTGGATGCTTTTCTCAGGGTAGGTACTTGCAATACAATAAACCCAAAGTGGGAAACAGAATGATATATTTATTCTTTGTGGCTAGGAAGACCAAATTATCTTTCAGTGATGCTTACTGGTGTGCTTTTCTACTGCAGCCGTTGGAAGGAATAGAAAGGCAACTTGGAGGTGAAGCATAAAATACTAAGCCCTGAGTAATCCATGTTTAATCAAAAGCAGGTTTGATTAAAACTCTCATTAAAAGTCTCACTTTGCTGTGGGTTAATTAAAAGTGGGACATTCCATACATCCCAAGAAACTAGCACAAAAGCCACTGGACTGAGCTTTGCTGGACTAGATGATAAAGAAAAAACAGTAATGTAACAGTACACTCTTTAAAAGATATGTTTGTTGTTCCAAAGTGTGAAGCCTTTGAAATAATTGGGTCCCAAAGTAAGGAGTGAGTGTATGCAAAGTCTCCAGGAGAACTGAACTTCAGAGGAAAGTGCTGCATTCCATCCTACCAGTGATAGAATGAGGGTCCAATGTCAGTGTAGCTATAAGGCTAATCAGATACATATTTTTTTTTCATTACTTAAATGAATTGTCCAATATTTTATGAGTATTTCTATATTTGCTTTGTTTTCTTTTAATTCTTTCTTAGTGTTTTTAGAATACAGGATCAGAAAGATCCTGACCCCTGTTACTTGTATTATCTAGTCAACAAATACCTACATGCTTACAAAGATCTTTGTTCATTCAGATTTGGAATGGGATATCAATGCTAGGATATGTGAGAATCCATTGAATGATGTAGCTCTCCATCATAATGTTAGACTTAAACTCCTATAATCAGCATGGTCAAGGGTAAAGGGTGATGTGAGTTCCAGTCTGGCAACATCTGGAGAGCCATTTTCTCCTCATCTCTGTTCTGGGTCATAAAAGAAACATTGAGGTAAAGTGATGTGTTCTTTATCACTGCAAATTTTATTTATATATTTTATTTTATTTCTTACAGAAGAATGATGGCAGATTTACAATAATCCAGTTGGTTGGAATGCTTCGTGGCATTGGCTCTGGAATGAAGTATTTGTCTGACATGAGCTATGTGCATCGGGATCTAGCTGCTCGAAACATACTTGTCAACAGCAATTTGGTCTGCAAGGTTTCAGATTTTGGCATGTCTCGTGTTTTGGAAGATGACCCTGAGGCAGCTTATACTACAAGGGTAAGGCAAAAAAATGTATTGTCGAAGGCTTTCATGGCTGGAATCACTAGGTTCTTGTGGGTTTTTTCGGGATATAGAGCCATGTTCTAGAGGCATTTCTCCTGACGTTTCGCCTGCATCTATGGCAAGCATCCTCAGAGGTGTGAGGTCTGTTGGAAGTAGGAAAAATGGGTTTATATATCTGTGGAATGGCTGGGGTGGGGCAAGGAGCTCTTCCCTGCTGCAGTTAGGTGTGAATGTTTAGCTGATCACCTTCATTAGCATTTGAAGGCCTGCCTGAGCCTGGGAAAATCTGTTGCTGGGAGGTGTTAATCTGTGCCTGGTTTTTTCCTCTCTGTTGTTTAGCTGTTATAATTCTAGAGTTTTTTAATACTGGTAGCCAGATTTTGTTCATTTTCATGGTCTCTTCCTTTCTGTTGAAATTGTCCACATGCTTGTGGATTTCAATGGCTTCTCTGTGTAGTCTGACATGGTGGTTGTTGGTGTGGTCCAGCATTTCTGTGTTCGCAAATAATATGCTGTGTCCAGGCTGGTTCATCAGGTGCTCTGCTATGGCTGACTTCTCTGGTTGAAGTAGTCTGCAGTGCCTTTCATGTTCCTTGATCCGTGGTTGGGCGCTGCGTTTGGTGGTCCCTATGTAGACTTGTCCACAGCTGCATGGTATACGGTAGACTCCTGCAGAGGTGGGAGGATCCCTCTTGTCCTTTGCTGAACGTAGCATTTGTTGGATTTTCTTGGTGGGTTTGTAGATTGTTTGTATGTTGTGTTTCCTCATCAGCTTCCCTATGCGATTCAGTGGTTCCCTTGATGTATGGCAGGAACACTTTTCCTCTAGGTGGATCTTCATCTTTACTCTCGTGGCTTGTTCTTGGTCTTGCAGCTCTTCTGATGTCTGAGGTGGAGTATCCATTGGCCTGGAGAGCCCAGTTGAGGTGGTTCAGTTCATCTTGGAGGAGGTGGGGTTCGCAGATTCTTTTTGCACGGTCTGCCAAGGCTTTAATGGTGCTTCTTTTTTGACTTGGGTGATGGTTGGAGTTTTTATGTAGATATCTATCTGTGTGTGTGGGTTTTCTGTACACGGTGTGACCCAATTGTTGATCTGGTTTGCGGATGACTAGGACATCTAGAAAAGGCAGTCTTCCTTCATTTTCTTTTTCCATGGTGAACTGGATGTTTGGGTGGATGCTGTTAAGATGGTCCAGGAACCTGTTGAGTTCTTCTTCTCCATGGCTCCAAATGGTGAAGGTGTCATCCACATATCTGAACCATATCGTGGGCTTTTTGGTTGCTGTCTCCAGGGCTTGTTCTTCAAAGTGTTCCATGTAGAAGTTAGCTATGACCGGGCTGAGAGGGCTCCCCATAGCTACTCCATCTTTCTGTTCGTAGAATTCATTGTCCCACTGAAAGTAACTGGTGGTGAGGCAATGGTGAAACAGAGCCGTGATGTCTTCTGGGAACCTCTGGTTGATGAGTGCCATGGTGTCTGCTACCGGGACCATGGTAAATAGAGATACCACATCGAAGCTGATCAGTTTGTCGTTTGTATTTAGCTTGAGATTGCTGATTTTTTTCTATGAAGTGGGCTGAGTCCTTGATGTAGTGTGTAGTGAGCCCAATATGGCTTTGTAACTGTGCAGCAAGAAATTTTGCTAGGTCGTAAGGCAAAAAAATGTTTATTGTTTAGAACTTTAGCCATTTGTTTCTACCAAGAGAAGGATTTCCTTTTCTTGTGACTTTTTTCTTCCGCCACCTCCTTCTCTCCCTCCCTCTCTCCACCCCTCAATTTATGTACAAGTACACTGAGAATCATACTATTTCTGGAGTTGATAAACTCTGTATGCTTGAAGCAGTTAAGCTGTAAAACGATTGTTCATGTCATCATAACCTTTCTTAGGTAAAATTTCGGAACCTCTTATATTATTATTATTATTATTATTATTATTATTATTATTATTATTAGCCATGATTTTTTAACATCTCCTGGCCCATTCAGACAAATAAAGGCAGGGTAGGGTACACAATATATTTTGACAGCCATTTTCTTGCACCTATTTCTGGAACAGAGAGTATTGCAGTGCAGATCTGCCCTTTGGCCATTTAGTGACCACAATCATAAATTCTCTTGCAGATTCTACAAATGCTCCTCGGAGCTCCTTTATTTTGTTCTTCAGCCTCCACTATCAATGCAGTACTCTGTCAAGAATGAGCAGTACATTTTAAGCCACTCTGGGGTTGAATGTTGTTGATTTGTTTGCTGGCTCATAACCTGTTCCATTTTTAGCTCATAGTAACCTATATTAGTCCCACATGCAAAATTATTTATGCAGGAATGGTCAGGATCTTCTTGAGCCCCATTCACTCATGTTTCACATCACCCTGGGGGCACTGATTTTTTGTCCCAACCTCTCTAGTATTATCTTCTTTTTCTTTTGAATTGAATTAGTGTCTTTTTTTCAAATATTTTTCTTATTTTAATAGTGTTCTTTCATTACTTTTCTTCATTGTTCTTTTTTCCATTGTCTTTCATCATCCCTTCCCTTCTGTATTCTTCACTGCATTGCAACTGCTGATTTACCATGTTCTCCTTCTCCTTCCTTGGAAGCTTTTAAACAGAAGCTGGATGGTCATCTGTCAGGGGCACTTTAATTGTGCTTTTCCTGCATGTCAGGGGATTGGACTAGATGCCCCATGTGGTCTCTTCCAACTTTATTATTCTATAATTCTAAGAAATGTATCAGTTATCCTAACTGATTCAAACCCTAACTCAAATAAAACCATTGAACTAATATTAACGCAAGTGTGTTAAGCAATTCATGGATTTAATGGATCCAACACAGACAGGATTTGGGAAAGTGTGGTAAACAGAAACCTCTCGAAGACCCCAAAACCCTTTAAAAAATCAATTGCTTTAGCCACGGTGCCATGCATTTCAAAAACAGCCAAAAATGTGGCAGTTCTTCATCCAACGCTTCAAAAATAAAACAAAAACAAAAAAGTGACAAAATTAGTCAAAAACTAAATTGGAAGTGACCTGACATAATTCTAGTCAAATTCCAGTTATATTGGAAGTACCAAAGTGATCTGTGAAAGGAAAATGGGGTAACCATGGATCCCACGGGGTGACAGTTGTCCACCCCTCATATAATAGATTACAAATAATATGCATCTTCTGTCACTCATTATTATAAATAACAAACATTTATTGCAAAAAAAGGAGGAAAGAAAGTTATAGCATTATTATTAACTCTTGACATGTATATGCATCCCGCTTACACCCATGACATGTTCATACATGTGAATGTAGGCATGTTAAATAAAAGTGTAGGATAATAGGATTTTATAGCCATTGTTTGACTGACTCTGCTAGATGGGTTTTAGTCATTTGTATGCAAAATCTAATGAGGCAAGTACTGCAGCTTGTAAAGCATTATCCTGATGATCACAAACACCCTTGAAGTTTATACACATCAGGATAAAAGGAGAAACAAGGTTTATAATGTAGATTTGTAAATTTTGTTAGATGTTTTCCTTTTAAATGCCTGCAATTCTCCATCTGTTCTCCCAAGTACAGCGATTGTGAGAGAAACTCGATTTGTGCTGTTTAATTCACACATATCCCCTGTAATGAACATGCAGTTCATTAAATTTGGAAGGGGAAGAGCAATTTGCCTTGTGAGGGCTTAATGCTGTCCAGCCCTGCAATTTCTCACTAACAAGGGCAGTGTGGTTTTGAGCCAAGACAGATTTCTAGAAAGCTGTGTTCAAACAGAAGGGCAGGAGGTAAACCATTGAAAGGCCTTCCTTTCAATTTGGAGAGTGCAAATATAGTAAAGTGTTTTCCCTTCCAAGAGAACTGCAACAAATATCTATAATTTGCATCATAGTGTATTGTCTTGTTCTAGTATTACTATTCAGGACAATTTGGATGAGTTCCATAACTTAGTAGCCAGAAGGAAGTTCAGATTATATGTGTTCTTTTGAAATGAAATAAAGAATAACCCAAGCCAAATCAGCCATATGGGTTACATAGGCAAAAATGTACTTTTATTCATTGCCACAGTAAATGAAAGATCCTGTACCTTGGCTGCCATCCAAAGACACTAAATCCCAGGGGTACAAGAAATCTGTATGTGGGCTCATGTTTTCTCTCAAAGTTTTCCCCTGTAACTAGAAGTACAAATTGCCAAGCTGTGTTCTCAGCCTTAGGAACAGTTTGGTGGTTGGATATCAAGTGATGGTGAAGATAAAGTTTAAAATACAAAATGTGGGTGGAAATATATAAAAAGCTGTTTATGTAAAAGATTGGTCACTCAACATATAATACACCCCAGGATCAGAATAAAGCTGGGTTAGTCCAGAATTCACCAATCTGGTGGCATTGACCATAATCTGTGAAAAAAGACAGTTGGAGCCCAAACCACATCAGTGGTGCCAACTTCCTGTCTTCAACAGAGGCCACATAAATGCTTTCAGGAAATGTGCAAGTACAGATATTGCCAATAAAAAAGTCATGCAAAAGCAAAAAGCACTTTTCTGTGAAATGTGCACTGAATGAAACGTCAAACCCCAAAGATTCTGCTGGTTAGTTTTGATTAGAACATCCTGAAAATATCAGAGAAGAGCTACAATGGCATAACAATATTCAGCACAGTCTCTTCATGTAGGTCAGAGTGGGCAGCCATGGGAGGAGCATGCATCAGTTTTCATTGTTGCAGTGGGTTGTATAATGCCATTAATTTGGCAAAAAAAAATCTCCATAAAATTGCAACCCCATTTCAGATTTCTCAATTGATTGGCTGGCTTTAATATGAATTGAGAGGATGAGTTAGTGCAATCAAGTGCTCCTGTTGATAATATTAAGATGTAAAATATCCCCCTTTTACATCTGAGAAATCTGGAGAAAGCCAAGGGGCAAAAAGATGCAGCTGGGGAAGACATTTGATACTAATGAAATGGGCCATTGAGACCAGCACTTTACAACTTGCTGGGGAGTATGTAAAGCAGAAGTGGACAACAGATGATTTCGGTCCCCTGTGAATTTGAGCACATCTGGACTTCCTCCTTCTGTGCCCCTTCCCCCCAAAATTGGCAGGAGTAAAGAAAAAAGAATTTGCTTTCCTGGAAGATTGGCCAGACTTCTTTAAAGTAAAGTGTAGGACCTCCCATCTGCCTTGTTTTATCACTTTACATAAAGATGTAAAGTGGTTTTGAAGAATTTCATTTTTTGACCCACAGCAGACAATCTGGAAACGGAGATTCATTTCCTTACTCCTATAGGTATGAATGGTTCCAGTGAATGAATGAAGTGAAAAGAGCAACTTTGGGGACAAAATCCTTGATGTTTATCCTTTTCCACACACACATTAGATAATGAAAACACTCAGGTCAAAGCAAAAAGATGAAAGCTGAAAATGATCACCATCCTTCCTCACTCGCCTGGCATGCACATGATTTTCAGTAGTCATAATCTCATTTTGTTCCTGCAGTGGCTTGAATGAGCCAACATAGGAAAAAAACAAACATTTTTGGGGGCTACCCATCCCTCCCATCTGGTCAGCATCTCTTTGAACAGAAGCTTGAATGGTAAGATCACCCATCTTGAAGAATTTCCATACTTGAAAGGGACAAATTCATTAAAGAACTGCTTAATAGTTCTGAATTATTATTTTTCCTTTTTTTGTTCACACTAAGTGGTCGCCTGCCATGGGGAAATTTAAACATCAGACTTCCACATATTCTAGATATGTTACACTGCAACACCAATTATCCCTGATACGTCTGAGCATAATTGGGTTATAGTCTAACACATACAAATAATATTACATATGGGAAGGCTGAATGATGTGCTGCAATAATGTTAAGGGATACACTTCCTTTGAATCTGGCAGCTGAACTTCGCCATCATGGCTAATCAGTGTCGATAGACCTATCCTTTGAAAATGTATAAACATGGGATCTTTTTACCCTTACACTGAACTTCTGGATGGTTTTCTCGAACTCCTTTTGACTTTTCACAGTCAGCTCAAATTTTATCATCCTAAATAATTTGGTATCATCTGCAAACTTGGCTCTATTTTTGTGTTAATCTCTTTAGCCCGTCTGATTCATAAATAAATTAAATAGCACCAGACTCAAGATAGATTCCTTAGGGAGCCATGGCTTACTTCCCTTCATTGTGAGAGAGCTTTCAATTTACTCCTCCTTCTACTTCCTCCTCTTTCACTAGTTATTGATTCATCTTACCTGATGACTAAGTTTAGCTTTTCTTTTTTTTTTGTATATGCTTTGGGAAGTTTGATATATATGCAATACTTAATGGCTTATTCCTAGCTACATCTTTGTTGGCATTCAGGAATAATTGTAAATACTTTGTGAGGCAGGACTTCTTTGAGGAAACCATAGTGATGCTTCTGAGGCAAGGGTTATTCTTCTGTATATTTAATTATTCTAGTTTTAATAAATGTTTATATCCTTTTGCCTAAGACATTAGCTAAGAAAATGGGCATTAATTTCTTGGATCCCCTCTAGAGCCCCCCTCATCATCCCATCCCACATACATTTTAACAATTCATGATTCATTGGCTATTTTCCAAATCAGCTGGTCAGGCAAATACAGGAAATGCTATTATATTCTGCTTCCCGCAGCATTTTAACTTACGACTTAATCCTTCTGCTTGTGATAAAATTAGACAGGAACCCAAGCTAATTTTTCCTTGTCAGTGTTAACATGCTGCTTGATAAATGCAGACAGCCTTGCTCAGTTAGACCACATTTTTCAATACTAAATATTCACATTCTGTGGATACATTTTGTTCCATATGATTTAAAGGGTAAGCATTTAATACCATGAAATAATCCCAAATTAGTCAACATGAACTAGTCTTAATTGTGGTGATAGTGACAATTTTAAGGGGGTTTGATATAAAGCCTAGAAGCCATTGTAGTAGTTATATAAAAAGAATGAAGAAAGGCAGGAATAATTAGTTCATTAGGATAAAGAAATGGGAAAATCTATGACAGCTTTATGGTTTTTTATCAAGCAAGTAAAATCAAACAATGAGAATGATACTGACTTTGACACAATACTGATGATCTAATTAGGTTTTATATAGGCATACAGCACAACTGCAGCTTTCAGGTGTGTTCCTACAATTATCTTACAAAAAGTATGTTCAGCTTACAGTTCTTGAGCTGACATTGATGATGCTTTTTGTGTCTGGTGTGAACTATATAATCAATAATATCTGAAATACACTACTTTAGAGACTAACTGAGAGAAAGAAGTTGGCAACATAAGCATTGGTAGACTAAATCCACTTCTTCTGGTGTGAGATTTAATTTAGGAAAGCGTATACTACTAATTTTGTTTTCTCATTTAGTCTCTGAGGTACTATAAGATCCCTTTGTGTTTTGATATTCCAGACTAACCAACTATGTCTTTGAATATCTGGAGCATCACAGGTTACCCACCTGTAAGAAAAACATCAAAAATTCAGCCCATCAACAAAATTCTACCTTTTCCAATTACCCTCCATACTGACCTTCATATTTCCAGTACTGTTAACAGCAAACATGCAGTTTAGAAACCTGATTTTTTGCTTGCTATATGCTCATTGGCCAAATTCCTTTTGTACATAGAATAGGAAATTAATAGCATAGTCTGCATCTTTTCATGGTAATCTGCTCATTATTTTAGATAAATTATGTATGATATTCACATATACCTAAAGTGCTTGCTGTTATATATGTGTGTGTCTTTCTTGATTTACTTGCAGGGTGGTAAGATTCCCATCAGGTGGACTGCACCAGAAGCAATTGCATATCGTAAATTTACATCTGCCAGTGATGTTTGGAGTTATGGAATTGTAATGTGGGAAGTAATGTCATATGGGGAGAGGCCTTACTGGGATATGTCCAATCAAGACGTAAGTGTCTTTCCTTTTCAATTGAAAATTATAATTGGTAACCCTAGGTCTTCTGTGCTCTAAAATAATATCCAGATGTAGCTCTCAGTCACCCGGGGCCACTTGTGTGTGTGTTGTGATGTGGAGAGCCCAGTCAGCATTCATTTTTATGGTGCCATGTCTCTTGGGAAAAAAAAAACACCAACATAGCAGAATTTCGCAAGCTGCTGGGAGTTTCTAATAGGACCTCATCACACTAGAGAATTAATCCACTTTAAATCTGGTTTCTCGTTCATGCAGAATTCTGGGGTTTGTAGTTTAGTGAGGCTGTTAAAGGCTCCTCCCAGAACTACAAACCTTAAAGTGGATTCATTCTCTAGTGTGATGAAGTAGCAAAACTAACTACATGAGGATCATTTTAGTTCAACCAGATGTTATTTCTATGGAGCAACCTTGGTAATATCAAATTCTTACATGGTTTTGAAATCTTCAATATGAGAGGACACAGTAAAATAATGTCATTTTTGTGGGCGATACACGTCAAGAAGAAGAAAGTGTGTCTCCATTTTCTAATATTCCAATTCACCTTAGAATAATCAAGGAAGAGAACTCATGACAAAATAGCATTAATCTGGTCACTACCCTATCACAGTCTTCTTTTACAATGTTATGATTTCCTCTTCCCGAATTTTGGGATGATATTTCTGTTCCATGGGTGAAAATAAATGTTCATACAAGGGCACTGTGGCATAAAAGCAAAGTCAGATGTAATTAATAAATCAGTGGCATTATACTTCACCTTCCTTTCAGTATGTTCAAAGTAATTCCACTGTAGCTTCTCCTTCATATTTTATCATGACAGCTGCCCTGTGAAGTAGGTCAAGCTGAGAGAGAGAGTGATTGGCCCAAGAACACCCACTGAGTTTTATAGCTCAATGTCAACTAGAACCCGGATCTCCCAACGTTTAATCTAGTGCTGTAACTAGCACACCACATGGTCCACAATAAAAAGAAAGAAGGGTTTCAGAAATATCAATAGCAATATGTGTGTGTGTGGGGGGGGGGGGGGGTTAAGAGGGCAAAAGTACCCTAGGCAGCTTAATGGGGGCTTAGCCATGGACTGTGTGTATTTGTGTGTATACATAAGCATGTTTCAATACATGTATGCATCTATATTTGTATAAACTTTGGTATACCATAAGGGGAAGAAACAAATTGTGATTGTTCTCAGAGAAATTGTAGAAAAGAGGGAAAACATATTTGCTCGTGAAGTTTTTCCAATATTCAAATTACTGTTAGTATTGATTCCATGGCACTTGTAAATTCATTAAGGATATATTGATTCCATGGCACTTGTAAATTCATTAAGGATATATCAGCAAAACTGACTTTCCCATTGATATTTCATACTCTAACATGAGTTTAAATACATATTTAAGTCATCGCAAAGGATTTTACTTAGAATATATTTGTTGTTGTCATAATGTGATAGTTTCAGCAATAATAAGAGAGAATATGCACTTGAGGGGGCATTAAAGAATTGTTTTATTGATTGTCTCTATGTAAATTATGCAATTCCCTTTAACTGTACAATCTGAACTACTTCAGTTCATTCCAAGACAGAATTAATAAAACTCCTGTTTTTGTCAAAGGTTATTGCAGATGAAGAGGAACATAATGCAGCAAAACATTGAATAAAAGAGAGGCAGTGCAGTGAAAATGCTGTAGAACAATTTGTGTCATGATTTATAAGCAGAATAACATTTCTTCCTCCCTCACTCTTTAGATATGAAACACAGAACACTTTAGGAGGTAGGAAGCAGAATAATATTCATGTACCCGCCTTCTTCTTCTGTAGAACTGAATAGTTTCCAACATTGTTTACATGTGAATAGCACTGAAGCTGAAAAAGATTTCATTTTAATTTCCTTCAGATGTATTTGGGAAAGGCCTAAAACTCAGTAGCAGAGCATATGCTTTGCATGTCCAACATCTCAAGCTCAGTTGCTGGCATCTTCTGTTAAATGATCTTGCTGGCATATTCTGAACTTGGAAAAGTTATTTGGACTAAAACTACATGGTGGCTGAGGGAGTCTGGCTACTGTAGTCCCACCCCACCCCCAACTTTCTTAAGATCCAAGTTGACATCAACTAGAAACCAAACAAACTATGTCACTATGGAACATGTTCGAGATTATTATTATTATTATTATTATTATTATTATTATTATTACGCCCCTGGTGGCGTAGTGGGTTAAAGCACTGAGCTGCTGAGCTTGTTGATCGAAAGGTCGCAGGTTCGATTCCTGGGAGCGGCGTGAGCTTCCGCTGTCAGCCCTAGCTTCTGCCAACCTAGCAGTTCGAAAACATGCAAAATGTGAGTAGATCAATAGGTACCGCTCCGGCAGGAAGGTAACAGCGCTCCATGCAGTCATGCCGGCCACATGACCTTGGAGGTGTCTACGGACAACGCTGGCTCTTCGGCTTAGAAATGGAGATGAGCACCACACCCCAGAGTCAGACATGACTGGACTTAATGTCAGGGGACTACCTTTACCTTTTACCTATTATTATTATTATTATTATTATTATTATTATTATTATTATTATTTCTTACCCACCTCTCCTCATGGCAATTAAAACACATAAACATTGCAAACATTCCAGAAATACACATATTAAAATGTATTTTTTATATAAAATACATATTAAAATACACAGAACAGAGATTAAGGACAGGGCACGAGTTTAAAATTCATGCTTAAATCTGGTTGGGTATTTGGGGAGGGCCTGAATCTAGAAGTAGTCTAGCAGTAATTAATAGTTAACTTGAGCAGAACGCTTTGAAGGTACTCGCACAGAAACACAATGTGATTTTTTAAAAGGATAAAATAGCATTCAGAGTGAGGTGGAAGAAAATTTGTTGGTGCTCTTTGTGCCCTCTTCCTCACAAAAGAGCAAGAAGAATATCCAAATTAATTGGATGAGTGATGTAGCTATGACACCTTTTTACCAGTGGAAGTAAATGAGATGCTATGCAATTCACAACATGCAGATCAACAGACAGATAAAGAAAGACTTCACTGTGGCTGTGAGGAGGAGTATATGTCTTTTTCCTTGCAATCAGAATACAAATAAGGTTTGGAAAGTTATTAATTTTTTTGACCATGAATAGAGTAGTCTTCGTAGCCTTGGAGACAATATTATTTTCTGCCTGTCTTAAAGACTAGTGGCAATGGAAGTCTGAATCTGCATTTCTTGCCATTATGCCTCAGCCACTCTTTTTGTGAAACCAGTTCCATCGTTTTGTAAATCAATGTGTGTGGCCAATTAATCTTTCTCCTCTTTATAGGGATTGCCAATAAGAATACCCATTAGTGCCAACTGTGATGGGGTGAAGGGTTGTGAACTGGGTATACCCGGCTGTCAGGAACTGGGCCTTGATTATGCATGAGCTCATTTGACGTAGGTTTGCCAAAAAGGCAGCATGTGATAATGAACCATACATATGGAAGGGTTTATGGTGTCTTTAATACAAGCAGGTTTGGGATCATGTCAGATACTGTTGTATAATCACATACTTTTAAGCGACATAGTAGGCCATTTTACAGCTGGCCTATATGAGTGCGAAACAGACGTAGGCAATTACCCATCTCACATTGCATGAGAGACAGATTTGGCGAAGAGATGATAGGACCAGATGTTCTTGACAAGCAAAGCTAAGCAAAGCCATTACACAAAGAATAAGAATACAGTTTGGCTCCTGGGAATTATATGGGATATATTGACAGCTACATGAAATCTCATTCTGATTTCACTTCCATTAAAAATGACCAACTAACAGTGGAACAGCCGAGACCTTAATGAGTGATGCAACATAGCTGGTTTCCAGGCGATCTTAAAGAAAGATGTATTTGGTTCTTAGCATTTCCTTCACCGTTTAGTGTTTGGAATATGTCTAAGATTTAGAATCAAAATCTAAGGAATCTGACTTTCCCCTCTAATCCCAAGTTTAACATGTAAATATTAACATATATTGATTATCTGTATTTACAAAATGTCTCCATTTCCCCTCTCTTTAATAATGTAGATTTTGTTCATTGTGGTTTAGGTTTGTATACAAAATATTTTACTCTTAAATATGTAGTTGTTATGATGTCCAAATATTATCAAGGTTACCCTGGGACATCCAAATGATCACAGTATTTAGATCTCTTAAAACATTGTTGCCTATTAGGTTATCAAAGCCATTGAAGAGGGCTATCGGCTGCCACCCCCGATGGACTGCCCGATTGCTCTCCATCAGTTGATGCTGGACTGCTGGCAGAAGGAGCGGAGTGACAGGCCTAAATTTGGACAGATTGTCAACATGCTAGACAAACTCATCCGCAACCCCAACAGCTTGAAGAGGACAGGCTCCGAAAACTCCAGGTCAGCTGTGCTTTAGTAATGGTGATGGATGAGGGAATATATTGGTGGTGACAGGCAGCTGTAACCTCAGCCTCTGTGCTGCAACTGAAGTTTCCTTCACAGATTCAGCTAGTAGGGTTTTGGTTTTTTTTACAAAAAATGCAGGAGAAAATTAACTGAGTTTCAGTAAAATTCTGTTTGCCCACTTTGTGCGAGCAAGATTCTTTTAGGATTCTGAAAGCAACCCTTCGGCAAACAAATTAATTCCTTTGCCTAGCTAGTGTTGGACATTTTGGTAACATGAAGTTCAGACATCTCTGCAAAACACTAGGAAAGTAAGGCTTATCCAGCCCTCTCAAAACCTATTCTTGTTTGGGGAGATGAGTCCAAGACATCTGAAGGACACTGAGTTCAGGAAAGCTTTATGGATGAAAACTTTCTGTGTGAATAACGATGGGTTTTAAAGGAAGTCAGTGTGGTGTAGCAGTTTGGGGATTGAGCTATTACTCTGCTCGGCCATGTAATGCTACTGGGTGACCTTGGGAAAGGCACATTCTCTTAGCCTCCGAGGAAAGCAAAGACAACTCACCTGATGATAGATTCATCTGGAAAACAAGCGTACCTCCCTATTCATGCTCAGTTATTTAATAAACCTCATAATCTTCTCAGTAGTATTTGATTTTCATTAATTTTAGTATTTTTTGCCAAATTTTGGGCAGAAGGGGCAACATACAATCTGATATTTGCTGTGGATTTCCTCCAAGTGATCTTTTTATACAGACACGAATTGCAAAGCAGAAGATGCGTTTTTGTCCTTACGTATGCCTGTGTTCAATGAATAAGCAAAACAAAATGCCCTTTTATGATTAGACATAGCTTTCCCTTTGATGCATGCTAAATATATCAGCTATAGAAAGGGGTGTGTTGACTGCAAAGAACAAGAAGCAGCATTCATTCAATATGAGAATAATCCTGGACAATACATTAGAAGCAGTTTACACCTAGTTTTTAATCTTTCACATTAAAAAATGAAAATAGTCACTTTTGTAAAGAAGAAAACAAATAATAGATTATAAGAATGTAATTGTAGCTGATTGAAAGCCTGAGTAGTCAGGCAACGGAGTTAAACAATAAACTATTGGATTAATATATGCTTTGCACATTAAAAAAGCACAATTAAGACAAAGATATATGTATTGGGAACCTGAAACATATGTTCCACAAAACAAAGATCAAAGTCACTATTATTCCATGCTAGTCCTGGCATACATGTTGATTGGTAAAATGGATTTGCTATCCCTGTTTTGCATGCAAGCACTTCACTTTCTTGTAGTCTTGACCAAGAAAATGTCTGGCTGAAGTCTTCCTTGTTTCCTCTACTTTCTAACTGTATGAGAAAACAGTTCCACTATAGACATTCTTGTTATGCTGATTTAAGCTACCCCACCCCCCATTCCCGGCAGACAGCACATAGATATTTCTGTCATAGCAGATTTTCTTCCTATTATGACTTCATTTATCATTTCAGGTGAATTCAATGGAACAAATTTAAGGGGGATTGAATAGTACAGTTAAAGCACCAAATCTGAAAACACACTATTTGAAGATGGTCGATAATATGCTATCCCACACTGATGAATATGATTGCACTAGTTAACTTATGAGTTCTTTTTTTCTTTCTGGGAAGACAATGAAGGAGTGACACAAATGCTGACGTCCATGTGATTGATATATATTAGGCTTGGTTGATCAAGAAAAAATTTGGTTCTAAAATCGATTTGTAATTGGGGTGTTTTTTTGTTTCGATATTTAAAATAATTACAAAATTTTCCCCAAAAAAAAGTTCGGTATTTACGAAATTTCGTAAATATTAACGAATTGATTCGTTAAGATGGCGGACCCCCCGCGCATGCGCAAAATCACTTCCGAAGCTTCATTATTGGCGCGGGGTCGATTCGTTAAGGTTATAACGAATCGATTCGTTAAAGCTGCGGACGCGTTTGCGCATGCGCAAAAGTGACTTCCGAAACGTCGTTATTAAATACGAATCGATTTGCTATTAAAATAATAACGAATCGATTCGTTAAAACGGCGGACGCGATTGCGCAATGCTAAATGCTCTATAAA